ACCAAACCCCAGCAGATAACAAGGACCTACTGTACATTATTGGAGCTTATATACATGTTGCTGTTATGTACCTGCAAGTGGCTTCCAATTTATGGCAACTCTAAGATGACCCTATCAAGGGATTTTCTTGACAAGTTTTATTAAAAGGGTTTTGCTTTTGCCTTCCTCTGAGGCTGAGAGAGTGTAACTTGGGCAAGGTCAACTATGGCTGAGAGGGGATTCAAACCCTGGTCCACAGAGTCCCAGTGCAATGCTCCAACTACTACACTACTTTGGCTCCCTCATACACATATATTAACACCGAAAGCTGGATTTTTATTTTAGCATTAGACCTCCCATTTCTGATAAGCAATGAGAAAATAAAATTGCTGACAACTTTCATGCACTTAGTAACTGTTTAATTTAATGTACAACAGTGTGCTCTTGACTTTAGCTGCTTCTCTGGACTAGAATTACCAGAATTAACAGCACTGGTCTGTGCATATTTACTCACAATTAAGACCAGCTGTGTTTATTGAGGCTTATTATCTTATGTGCAATTCTATGCATCTCTTCTCAGCCATTAGTCCCAATGAATTCTGTTGGGCCCTTTCTCAGATAAGCAGATATAGGATTGTCCTCAAGGCACCTATGTCGTGTCTAGCTGTCCTTGTTTACTTATTTATAATACTTCATCATTTTTTCAAGGTATATAAAGTGATGTGCAATAACAAAACCCAATACAAGCCAGAGAAAAGCAACTTCTGATGCCACCTCCAAAACATTATTTTAAAGGTTGTTTAAAAAGCAATCCCAGTGAACTCCTCTATTGCTTTCCTTTTTCAAAGCAATTACTTTCTAAAACTGGTTTTATCTATCCTTCATTCTGCAGTACTTGCTGTTGCAAATGATGGTGCTTAGATCAGTACAGGCTTTGAAAATTGTAATTCTTGGGCAGACTCATTAAAAAGATATGAGGAGGGTTTCAAAGCTTCCATAACTGATTGATTGATTATTTCAACTAATTACATAGTTCATAATGCAAGGTCATCTTTCTTAGGGTAGCCATATGTCTAAGAGGACAGTGCTGTTGCACATTTACTGCTGCTAGTTAACCTAAATCAGTGCTTCTCAATTATTTTCTGTCATGCCC